TTATTTTATACTTTTTATACTCTCGCAACCTGTTGCTACAGAGTATAATAGTTTTGTTCACCTAACGGTTGTTTGTATCACTAATCGAGTTAGATATATATAAATGATCAGGATGAAGAGACGAGTTGAAATCCGGGTGACTGTCTGTCCGTCCGTCCGTCCGTCCGTGCAAGCTCTAACTTGAGTAAAAATTGAGATATCTTTATGAAACTTGGTAGACATGTTTCTTGGTACCGTGAGACGGTTGGTATTGCAGATGGGCGTAATCGGACCACTGCCACGCCCACAAAACGCCATTACTCAAATTTTTTTAGCACTTCTATTGACGGTGTGAAAATAGTTGAAATCGGGTGGCAACTCCGCCCACTCCCCATATAACGGTACTGTTAAAAACTACTAAAAGCGCGATAAATCAAGCACTAAACACGCCAGAGACATTAAATTTTATCTCTGAGATTGTATAAATTGGCTTTATAGGAACCGCGTTCAAAATTAGTCAGTGGGCGTGGCACCGCCCACTTTTAGGTTAAACCCATATCTTGAGATCTGCTCAACCGATTTCAACAAAATTCGGTGCATAACGTTCTTTTCATGTTTCTATGTCATAGTGCGAAAATGGGCGAAATCGGACTACAACCACGCTTACTTCCCATGTAACACCATTTTCAATTCCATCTGATTCTTTCACTTTCCACTATGCAAATCAGGTAACAATGATTATATTGGGGTAAAACTTTGCGTGAATAATGCAATTAAAGTATGCCACCTTGCGGCCAAAAATTGTCTAAATCGAACCAAAACTGTTCAAACCCCTAAGTACTAAATAGGTGGACCCCAGTGCCTATAGTTGACCTTCTACCGAAAATATCAGTCAATCCACAAAGAAATCTCAAACGAGTATACCATTTGACTTTGCGAGAGTATAAAATGTTCGGTTACATCCGAACTTAGCCCCTCCTTACTTGTTAACCTTTAGCCTTTTATTCCTTTATTTTTGAAGTGAACCGTAGACTTTTCTGCTTGAGTTGAAGGACCTTTTTATTTTTACGTGAAATTATTTTGAATTCAATTTTATTATTGGTAATTTTGTAAAATAGTTACTTTTTATTCAACTAAATAAAATACTGTAAACATTTTTTTTAATCATCTTTTTTTTTCCGATTTTTCATAGTACAAAGGAAATTTGCATAAGTGAACGCAGACTTTTTCTGCCATGTGTATGTACGAGAGGAAAATGAAACACTTCAAGCTGAAACAAACGCTCCAGGCATTGATTGAGGCGACGCCGCCGACGTGATGCCAATGTCAACTTATGTTCACTGTGGTCCGATAAGATCAACAAGATTTTTCGTTGTGTTATTATTCTTGGCAGTTTCCCTTGTTATACTCTTGCAACATGTTGCTACAGAGTATAATAGTTTTGTTCACCTAACGGTTGTTTGTATCACCTAAAACTAATTGAAATATAAGAAGTGATAATGAGTTCGTAGATGAGTGTAATCAAACACAAAACGCCATTAATCGATAATTTATAAAGTGCCATAACTAAGCACCTAATTAAGATATGCAACTGTAATTTGGCATAATTTATCGCAGTAGTAAGGGACACATGTCGGCAAAAAAAATAAATGAAATTTTACATCCGAAATGATACGAAAGCACTTTATAGGAGCCGGGGTCAAAATTTTACGATGGGCGTGGCAACGCCAACATTTAGGGCGATATTAGACTACAACCACGCCTACTTTCCATATTACACAATTTTAAATATACATATATAAGTATGTCGGTCAGTGTACGACTACAACTCATTTAGATATTTATAAAGTTAATTAATTGGAGAAATTTCCCCGGTTTTGATCCTTGCAAGTTGCTAGAGTATGAAATGTTCGGTTACACCCACACTTAGCTCGTCCTTACTTTTTTATTTTGTAGCTTTTATACCCTGAACAGGGTATATTAAGTTTACGACGATGTTTGTTACACCCAAAAGGAAACGTCAGCGGCGTTATAAAGTATATACAGTGGGTCACAGCTTATTTGATACAACAGCCGATATAAATTTCGAATCCGCGAACATGATTTTAATGGCCGAGTTGCTCGTAAGAAACCGTTTATTAGTAAAAAAAAAAAACCAAATGTGTAGAATAACGTTCGCTCAGGAACATGTATGTATGTACTTATATAAATTATCAGCGTGACGAGCTTTGTATTTGTGAAGGGTATTATAGCGTCGGTGCAACCGAAGTTAACGTTTTTTCTTGTTTTACTTAATTTGTATTGTGTTTATGCAAAACCCGATTATTGTAAAGATGCCGCTTAACTGGCTTTATTTTGCGCATTAGATACATATGTACATACATACATGTGGTACATACAAAAAAATATGTGTACTCGCATTGTTAGAGACAAGTCAAACAATGCTACTCATTAAAAGTTTAATTGCGGAAAAAACAAAGAATTATTATTTCGTTAATTTTGGCAAACTGGTTTTCCTCAACAAGTGAACATAAAATGTTGTAGTTTTTGGAAAAAAATAAATTCTTTTTTAATTACAATATTGCTTGCCAAGGCTTTGTCAAATTTTATTTTATTCTTAAATTTATTGTGTAGAAAAACGATTTTCGCTGGATAATCAGACAAAATAATATTATGATCTCCATCAGATAAATGCTCCTAATTATTAAGAAGAGGAATTGCATTATTGTTATTTGACTTCATTTCAATTAGCGTTGACCAAAGTGCTCGATGACGAGCCCAAAGTCAGAAAAGCAATTGGTGTTTACAATTACAACAAAGACACTTGAGAGTAGCCTAACAGTAAATATAGCCGTCGATAGTCGCTTGCAATTATCGAACGAGATGGTAATTATTCCAGTTCCGCTAAACTTTCCAGTTCCGCTAAACTTTCCACTCCAACCTCGCTTCTCTGAAACTTTAATCATGAAAATTTTATTACTGTCCTTAGTGAGTGCTTGTTTTTGAGTCTTAGGGTTCGACTAATAGGAGTGAGTTTCGACTTTCTTGTATTCTCCAATTTTCATTAATATTTGATCTTTTAATGATTCCAAAGTTATCTCGGTTACAATGTGAGTCAATCACGATTTCTTATGCATTTAGAGTCCATCAAAAGTGTCTTCATGATTAACGGTACCGATGCTGTCAATATATTAGAGTGGCAAGTGCCAAAACTACCAGTGAAAAGTCCGTGATACGTTCAGATATTTATCAAACGGTGAAGGCCACTGGCGTCTTGCCATTACAATCCCTAATCCACTTTATATACTTAATAGGTCCGATAAAAACAAATTATTTTAATTTTTGGCCCCCTTCTTTTCTTAAAATACAATAATTTATTAACTTCAAAGCATTGAATCTTAATCCGACTTAAGTCTCCAATGGCAAGTTATTTCTCTAAAGTATACATATGTACATACAAACATTCATATGTAAGTATCTACTCAGCTGAGATATTCTATCCACCTCATTTTCTGATTGTTCAATATCCTTCAAAAGAGAGCGAATTCATGAACGAAATATCAAAGAACGTGACATTATACTGTGAACGTATAGTTAGCAAATTTTAGTCACCTCGAGAATAGTTTATTTTGGAAGGTATCAGCGACGTTATAAACACGATTATTCTACAATTTTATTTGTAATTTTAGCTGGGATTCAAGCCCTTGATCGACAGAATAGTATTTGCGCGCTTAACTAATCCAACTACTGCGATCGACTGTAAGTACTCGTAGTACTGTGTATAATTGTAATTATTATGTGTTTGATAGTAAACGAGATTTTCTAAATGATTAATAGTAATTACTCTGTAAGTTCTGATCAATACTTGTTAAGTTTACTATTTGAACGTTTCATAAGTAGAACTCTACTACAAGGTAAACATAAGGTGAGTTATACTAATGGGAGTGGATTAACAAAAGTTCGCCATCATAAAATACGGTTTCGGTTGATAATGCATTGACAAACTCTTTCAAATGCTGGTACATAACCTAAGTATACCCTAAACAAGGTACATAAGTATATTAAATGTGCTACGAAGTTTGTAACATCCAGAAGGAAACGTCGGATACCCTATAAAATATGTACATCTATAAATTACTAGTATTACGGGCTTATGTTCAGTTACAACAGTTGCGCGATTGATAAATTCTGTTTGTAATAAGATAAACAAGATAGAAACAACTTATCAGTTCTTCCTCGGCTGTACAGCTACACTGAGATTAAGACAGAAAACGAAATTACTCGCCTAAGCAATTGGTGATACCTGGGATTTGTTGAATCTCGAAACCTAACCCAACTGAGTCATCATATACAAACCACTTTGCATCTATTGGATCAACTATTATATGTATATATTGGCAATTATTTATTTTACAACTAAATTTATACAGGTTGACATTTTTTCAACAAACCGAATTTTAGTTTGTTTCGACGAACGAATAACGTGTGAATATGAAAGCGCGTCTCTACTACTGAACTTCGTCGGGAATATACTTTATAGTACTTTATTCAGAGATGCCATCACGTCAACATCAATCGTATTAGTTGAACACACGTTAACATCATACATCGCAGTTTCAATATCAGTCGTTACAACAATTCAAAATTAAAATACATTTTTTTTGCTGCCAATACCACTTCGCTGTTAGTAGATGGACCTGCTGCTAGTGATGCGCCTGGTAGCTTAAAGATTTTATCAACTACCGCTTGAAACGTCAATTGACGTATCTTCGCACGCACATCTACTTAACTATAAGCGACGAGAAGCTGACCGATACTTCTGCTGAAAGCGCCGACAGGTAAGCGGTGGAGGTGTCGGTTATGCGCGCGAAAAAAGCTGCGACAATTTAATAAGAGAATTAACTGCGGGTAATTTCAAACATGAAAACTTAGTAGCTCACAGCTTAGGGCGGATATTTTTAAATTTTGTGTTTTTTGCCTCTACAATTCTAAATTGTTTCTTACTGATTTTTATTGTCTTGCTCACTGTTTTCTAGCTGCGTTTCCTTTTATTAAATTCAAATACTTCATATGTACATACATAAGTACATGTGCACAATCTATTGTACGTATCGTATATGGGGTTTTGTTTATTTTCAAACGAACAACAAATGGTTCTGCGAAGTACTTGAACAATCGGCTGCGTTAGTTGTTAGCTAACTTTAAGAGTGAACGGCAAATAGTCGTGTTGTAAAAACCCAGCTTTTTAGCATTACTCTAATCTGAACAGAGTTTTCGTGTAAAGCACCCGTAAATTGTCTTGTGATAGGATAAATCCCGTACAATGAGTGCGCAGCTTTCGGCAACGGGGACAACATCGATCTGTATATTATTATTATTGTTTGCTGTCGTGTTGTTGCCGCGAAATGTCAAAGGTGTGTCTACTAAGTCGTTATCTTGTAGAAGATAAATGTGATTAATAATGTAATACAATATTAATTACAAATAATATACAATCACGGAGCAAGCGAGGTAAATGTGGTCTTTAAGGGCGTAAGCTATCTAATTACTCAAAAAGCAAGAAAAGGTGAAGTACAAATGGAGAATCTGCCATAAAAGGAATGAATGAAGACATTCACTGAAAATTCAAAGAAAAAAATTTTTTGTCTATCGGTTCAATGCGGAGCTCTTTCTGATATCAGTTTGACAAATTAAGCGCGAACATATGCCCATTTTGAAGCTTTTGCAACATGTTCATACAGTGTATATATAATAGGTTTTTACTTGCCAGTTATTTGTAACACTTAAAAGTTATCAATATACATACTTACATACATATACTAGTGTAGTCACAGCCAAAAACGAGTTTAAGAGCTTCATAGGGAATCGGTGCCTTTAGATGAAATCTAATATTTGAGGAACTACTCAACCAATTTAAATAAAAAGTGGTGTATGATGATATAATGATATTATTTTGGTAAATTATGTAAATGGACTGCAACTGCGCCTGCTTCCCACGTTTCTTATTCCCATACGATTATCATCAAAATAAAACTTTGCACAAATAGTGGCTTTGGAGCTAAATCCCGTCTGAAAACTATCGAAATCGGACCACAATTTTAATGAAAATATCAGTCAATCTGTGAGATATATTTTTGAAATACATAGAGCATCTTTTCCCGATTATAGTGCGTCCTTTTATCAAAAATGAGTAAAATACGTCCCCTAGCTCCCATTTACCTCACAATTTCGTTTGCACGGACAGACGGACGGACAGATAGTCTGTATTATGTGAATATTGGTTGCACAGGTCGCACCCTATAGCTGAATACATCCAAATTGGTTTTTGTTTAAAGTTTAAATTTGTTATCTTATTATCATGTCAATATTTTATGCAATTCGAAAGTATTATGATATATTCATAGATGAAATGAGATTAAGATGAGGTGGGAGGCTTATTGTTCGGTATGAAGACGACTGTGTTAAGTCTCCCGGGTTTATCTATCAGTATGATGTGCGAACTTGGACAATATCCGAAACTAAAAATTGAGTCTGAGTCTCTAAGTTTTTGGATTCAGCTCTTTTATGGCCATCTAATTTCAAAAGTTGAAATCTTTATACACAAGAGAAAATTTTTAGAAATGTCGGGAATTGGCTCCTTGAAGTCGTTTTTTTTTTTTGGCAGTTAGATTGAAATAACTTTTCTAGGTAGTTTGCAAAACAAATTCATATCCCTTTTACTTCAAGTCCAATGAACCACTCTTGTCTTTTATAGGCTGAAATCGTCTGGTGGCTTAATATGTTTTTAGGCTTTCCAAAAGGAGTTTAGCTTCTTTGAGTTTGGGCACAATTTCTTTATATAATTTTCGACTTCTTCCGCATACTAAAACGCTTTTCTTAGTTTGTTTACGCATAGCAGACTTAAATTGCAGTTGAGTAAAAGCGGAGCAATTTACCTGCCATTCAGGTCTAGTGCTCCTTTTTTCTACTCTCGTCTTGAGTTTAGCAAATGTATTCTGAAATCAATAATAATGTAACTACTGAGATACTTTTAATATTTTAAGCAGCTAGTTTTTTGAGGTGATATACATACATATGTATATGTACATTTATGTATACATATGACAACTTGACCGACTTTGAGAGTTAACTAATATGGTGTACTGTTTTCGTTTTTTCTCTTAGCACAAGCGAATAAGGTTTCACCGAAATTGGATTTTGACGAAGTGGAAAATAAAAACAGCTCGGATGTGCCAATAGTGACTGGCACGGGACAAGGCGGTAGTCAAAATAGAAGTGGGAAAGAAGAGGGCGGAAGGGACATTGATATAACAACCAATACCAACAGCGGCGGCAGCAGTGGAAATGGTAAATCCGGTCCAAAAATTCATGGTGTGCGAGTGACTGTCGATACAGGTGACACACGAAAATCCAAGGGTAAATTAATTTATATTGTACATTAACAATTTAGAAACATCGTTTAAAGTTATTTACTAAAAAACGCCAATTAGAGAACACAGAGAGCGTAGAAATAACTGATGTGGGAAAGCACAAGAAGCGCGTCGGCATACATACGGATATAACATTTGAAATATCAACAGATGGAGATAGTGACGGTAATGCGACAAGTGCAGCGCAAGATGGCGATAAAGGTGATTATAAAGACAATTTGTTTACATTAATAATATGATTTCTCTAGAGGATGCCAGTGTGCCAATTTTTAAAGGACGGAGTCGTCCTACACAAAAGACGCGAAAGCCATATGATCCCAAAAACCAATGGAATCCTAATTACTCTTCGGAGCGACGTAGCTACGAAGGCGGAAGTCGTGCGACAGGCCCAGCTTACTACTACCCACAATACTATCCAAATAATGTGCCCGTCTACGTAGCTACTGGCAATGAACGTGGAGGCGGTGGTGGTACTGGATACAGGCGAGGAGATGGCTGGAATAGTTATGTGCCCTCTTCTAGTATATGGACGACTGAACGTAGTTACAGCGAACAATATAGACCCAATACAGTGGCTGGTCAAAGAACGTCTAGCTGGAAACCTTGCTACTGCATGACCTCTGCTGTGGATAATCGAAGGCGGCGAGAGAATACGCATGGAATAAAGGAAGCTCTACAACCTACAATTACAGTTCATAACGACGTAGATGCGAAATTGGAGAAACCCTTTTCAAGCAATTAATTCCATAAATTTCGTAATCACGTAAAATGTAATTGATAAGTATATGTATGTATGAATAATTTTATCTTACAGATTTTCGTTTATTTTCGAAAGTGTATTTTATATGTTTACATTGAATTAAAAAAAAAGAACGCAGATTAGCTTAGCGTAAAAGAACACATAAAAGTATTTAAACTGTACAACTGGAGTCATGTTTATGTATGAAGACTGTAGCTGCTGACTTTGCCGTTGTCATCGAGTGTTGTCGTGGCTGCCTTGTAGCCGGCGCGCTTGCCGTTGATGTCGTAGTTCTCGCTTTCGCCAGTTGAGAGCTCTTTGAAATTATTTACTTGGCCATCGGGACCTAACTGTTTGTGCAAAAACGTGAAATAATATATGATTGAACGCTCATCTCTGAAGTAAGGCAATTCTTACCTCTGATTGTGACGACCACTTCGAAGCCCTTTCCCAAGATTTAGTTTTAAAACCACCACCTGAAAGACCGGAATTGCTACCATAACCTGCTGACAAGTCAGCCAACTGACTACCGCCAGAGCGTACGCCACCATAGCCTATATCTTGGGCTTGCGCTTTAGCCAAACGCTCGGATTCGGCAATGTAATTATGCAAGCCTGAAGAACCTGCACCAGCAGATATACCTGAGTTTGCTCCGAATGTAGAATCTGCGCCGAAACTTGTACCGAATTTAGAGTTAAAGCTAGATTCAGTACCAAATTGCGAGCCAAACTTGGATTGTGCGCCAAAGCCACTGCCAAAACCAGCACCCTGGGTAAGCGCTGCATTGCTGACCGCACCAAATCCACTACTAGCACCATGTTGCGCTCCGAATTGGCTTTGAGCACCAAATCCATGTTGAGCGCTGTAACCGCTCTGAGCACCGAAACCACTTTGGGCACCAAAATGACTTTGGGAACCAAAACCAGTATTGGCAGCTGTTAGAGCACTTGAACCTAAAATATGTTATGGATTGATTAGAGCAAAACTTTTTAGAATAAATTATATTGTTTTTGAAACTTACCGAGGCTACCGTAGGCTGTTTGACCTGCAGTCAATGCACCACTTAACAGATTGTTTAATTGCGAAGCTGTATTTGAAGCAGCAGAGTGTTGAACGTAAGATGAGTGGGTGCCACCAACAGATGGTATAACAACTTGTGGTTGGGCTGAAGTGGTTACTTTACGATACTTAACATACGATTCATGACCTGAAGGTGCAATAATTTGAACAGGTGCAGCTTGTTGGATACGTTCCTCTTTAATGGTTACATATTTCTCGGAGCCACCAGATGGTGCGGTGTATTGAATTACAGGCACAGCTTGGCTTTGCACGCGTCTTTCTTCATGGTGAACATAGTTCTCAGCACCACCACTGGGTACAGTGTACTGAATAACAGGTTGGGCAGCAACACGACGTTCTTCGTGGCGATAGTAGTTTTCAGAGCCACCAGTTGGTGCAGTGTATTGGATAACAGGTTGGCTTTGTGTGCGACGTTCCTCATGGTGTACATAGCTTTCGTGGCCACCCGATGGCGCATATGTAACAATTGGTGTTGCAGTTTGCGATTGTACACGACGTTCCTCGTGGTGCACATAGTTTTCAGAGCCACCAACAGGTGCGGTATAAGTAATGATAGGTTGACTTTCAGTTCGGCGTTCTTCATGATGGATTAAGCTGTCATGACCACTGAAGCCACTTCCCGAAGCGACGACTTCAGGTATGACTTGCTGATGCACATTTTCAGTTTGTTCGGAAAAACTACTTGATGCACCACCTGAGACGGGTATTACAACAGAAGCTCCGTTACTGGCTCCGCTGGCAAAATTTGAGTTAGCGCCGAATGATGAAGAGCTACCAAAGTTCGCTGAGTGACTTGCGCCGAATGAGGCAGCGCTATTACTTGACGCACCGAAAGATGAAGCACTTGCCAATTCTGCGGCCGAAAGCGCTGATAGACCAGCTGAGCTTTGAAGACCAGAATAACCACCGCTACCATAACCACTGCTTCCATAGCCGCTGTTACCACCCGAAAGTCCGACAGTGCCCACACCACCATAAGAGCTGACCTCTTCAAAGGAAGCATGATGTTGACTACGAAGGAAATTTAATGTGTTATTGATTATAAACATTTTTTTTTAAATATATTTTTAAACCTTAGAAGTCACATTATGTTTGTAAACTTCAGTAGACGAATAAAAAAGAATTGTTAAGCGATATATTCGCTAGAAAATAGTTTGCACAAGTAAAAGCTATTCTAAGATTTTAGGTATCGAGTTGATTAAATAAAAACTTACCCATCGAATCCGGTAGCTGCGTCACCTAATTTTTGTTTAGCCTCTTGAACGGTTTGTTGGTGTTGACTATAGTGTCTAAAGGCGAGAAGACAAGTATTTTAATATTCATGTTTGTTTAATTTTTATTTAACATTAGTATAACAATTTTGCAAAACCGATATTTTAGTTTAGAAAATTTTGTACCAAGCCAATTAGGAATACAGATTATCATGACTAAATGATTCCTTTATTGTTTAGGTACTTACAATTTGTGGAAATCACGCCTTGAAAAGGAATAAAGAGATTCAAATAAATACATTTTATTAAATTATTTTTAAGAAAAATGTTAACATAGATATATTTTTTTAAATAAAGTATTTGCTTGAATTTAAGAATATGTGTGTATTTTTACCTGTTCTCGAGCTCTTCTGAAAAAAAAGAAAATTCATTGTAATATTTTTAATTGCTTCACATTTCATAATTTTAAATATAAATATAAAATAATGTTAAAAACTTTTGATTACAAGGTAGGTAGGTTTGTAAAAATCCAACAAGGAAACTAAAACGATCTATTTGCAATTCATTTACAAATGAATATAGTGGGCTGAATGTTTCAAGTTTAGAAAGTTGATAAGCAAAGAAATAACCTTTTCCACGATAGCTAACTCGAAGAGTTAATTAAGTTTTATATCTAAAAGCTAAGATCTGAAGAGATACCCATGTTAATTGTATATAGATCGGAAGAGGGCGCGATAGCAAATAGCTTTGGGAGATCTTGGAGTATTGTAGATGATGGTTGCGGATGATTTCTTAACCAATTGATTAACTTTATGGTTGATAAAACTTAAAAAATGTGTTCAAAACGCTCACCTCTAAACTAAAAGTTAGTCCAAGGATTATATTTGAAAACTATGTACATATGTATGAATACGGGCTGAAAAGTCGTTGGCCGAAAGATTCAACGGCAACTAAAAATGTTTTTTTTGTCTTTAAATACTGTGAAAGTGTCATGATATGTCATCTAATCGTTTTCGAGTTATTACTCTCGACCTTAAGCCATCTCTGCTATTTTTGTTTACAATGGGGAAAAGGGAGTTTCGTTTTTTATAAAAGATTGTTTCCTGATAAAAAAAATTTATGTTTTATTTCTTATTCTCTATATCTAGACTCAAATAGCGGCTAGTAGAAATAGGATTTCACTCAAATTCCTTATTTGTTTGAGATGAAATACCCTCACAACAAAGGCATTACTATAGCTAGAGATTATGTCGAAGAATAAAGCTTAAACAACTATATTCCATTTCTTTGTCAAGGACTTTTCGGCTTATGTAGTATACTCGTATGTCGATAATGTGGAGCTAGGTGTTTTAAGCTATATGAATAAAATTTTGCTTTGTATTTGATATTTTATAATGTTTTAAGTATATTATGTTAATAAAAAAAATCACAACTGGCCCATTTAAGGCAGTAAAATTTCTTTCTATCTTTAATGTAGCGTCGCTTAGAAATAGATTAAACAAACTAATTTGTTGCATAATCATTGATGAGTACATACATACATATGTATGTATGTAGATATGTATGCTTAACTAATGCAAAACAAAAAGTATAGTATATACATAAGTATGTATGTATATAAACGAGTCTACGGACCAATGTACGTCCGGCATTACAGCATCAATGAGATTGTCTGCCAAGGTCAAAAGTTATCAGTAATCGAAACCAAAATGACACGGCATTTAGATGCTTTGCATACGTATGGACGTAAGCTTACGTATGCACATATATTCTTTTCAGTTTGAAAGAATATGTTTACTCGTAGAATGCATTTTAATAAAAGAACATTTATATGTGCACCATGGAACTGTGACTGTAGCTTAGTTTTTCGAGACAATTATTGTAGCGTACCGTCCTACTGCTCTTTAATTGTGGACTACAGGGATAATAATAATTCATTGAACTTTTGAAAGCAATTAGACTTGAATTCATTGAAAACTTATAATACAATTTTGGGGAAACAATATTTACAGTCACTTGATATAAAAAGAAACAAGTAAGGAAGGAATAGGTTCGAGTGTAACCCAACAAATTATATGGATCAATCCCCCGGAGAAATATCTGTAGGATTTGGAAAAACTATATATTAAATAAAAAATGGTGCAAAAGAATTCAACTTTCATTATTCGACAAAAGAGTGAAATGATAACAATCATTTTTAGCGTCTTATTAACTTATATTATATGTAGGTCATATACATAATTGGCTTCATACAAGAGTTATTGATATTCAAATCAAGCTAGTTAACTCAAATGAGATATACTCTGCATGTAAATACATATGTGATATAAAATCAACCAAAGCGGCTCAATTAAATATATGCGGTATATGAAAAAAAAAAAAAATTAATCAATCAAACGAAAATCACTTATCCAATTAATTTCTTTAAAATATCTCATATGTAGTTGGACAAACATAAACGGCCTAAAGTCAGTGGTCAGCTGAAGTAGGAAATCATTATTATATATTTGATGTATTTGGGCTAGTAGCAGGCTGTTGGTGATTACATTAGCTTGTGGCATTACTCAAGTATGTATATTAGAGAACATGTTTCCACGCAATTTTATGAAGAAAACACAAACACTGATCGGCATATGCGACATAAAGTCTGCTAGAGCAGCGGAAATTATTACAGTATCCCCTGCTTAATTGACTCCGGTCAATAGATTTCCCGCTTATTTGAATCACTTGTACGGTCAAAAATATATTGTATACTAAATATGTGTAAATTTTCCCGTATGATTGAACCCGCTTAATTGGTTTCCCCGCATGATTGGTCAAAAATATGTGGCATTGAAAGAAATATACCTTCAATTTCCACCGGTAAATTG